ATGCCCCTGCCACACACCTTTCCTGATTTTAAACCACTCGGTGTCCTCTTACTCTGTTTGAATGATAGACCCTTGGTCTATGTACAAGTTCCTAATGAGCACAATTAAGTGTTCTGAAATACCCATGCTTTGCAATGTTATCCATAGGTTGTCATGATCCACACAGTCCAAAGCCTTTGCGTATTCCATAAAGCACACATAACATCTTTCTCGTATCCTTTGCTATCAGTCTAGATCCATCTAACATCAGCAATGGTTACCCTTTTCTAAACATGGCTTGGATTTCTGGCAATTCACTGTTGATGTAGTGTTGCTGCTGATTCTCAATGATCTTCAGCAATATGATACTAATGATATTGTCCACTGTATTCCACCTTTTCTTGGGTCACCTTTCTTTGGAATGGGCGCAAATACAGATCTCTTCGTCAGTTGGCCAGATAAGTGTCTTCCAAATTTCTTGGCATAGACAAGTGAGCACCTCCAGTGCTGCATCAGTTTGTTGAAAGATTTCAGTTTGTATCCCATCAATTCCTGGAGCCTTGGTTTTTTTCCAATGCCTTCAGTGCACCTTGAACTTCATCCTTCAGTACCATTGGCTCTTGATCATGTATTACCTCTTGAAATGGTTGAACATTGACAATTTCTTTTTGGTACAGTGACTCTTCCATCTTCTTTTGATGTTTTATATATCATTCAATGTTTTGCCCATGTTGTGTTGTTAAGTACCAACTAATAGCGATTCTGGATAGGGTTTCCAAGGAGCGGCTAGTGGATTTGAACTGCCGACCTTGCAATTCAAACCAACCTTGCAATCCTGTGCATTATCCTGCAGCGCCACACCATTTTGCCCATAAAATCTTTAAATATTGTAAGTCAAGGCTTGAAGGTGTTTTGGTTGTTGTTATTGTTCTTTCAGCTTGAGAAATGCTGAGCATGCTCCTCCCTTTTGGTTTTCTAACTCCAGGTCTTTGTACAATTCATTATAATATATAATTTTGGCTTCTCAAGTTGCCCTTTGAAATTTTTTTATTCAGCTCTTTGACTTTCTGGTTTCTTCCATTTGCTTTTAGCATCTCTTTATTCTGGAAAGCAAATCTGAGTCTGTTCTGACATCGATTTTGTATGAAAATCTTCTACAATTGTTAGAAAGTTGTCTATCTCTTTCTTCAGTTCTATTGGAGTTTGATTTATGTATATTAAGGCTCTTTCATCAAGAGCATAGGTATTATGGTTATGTCCTCTTCTTCAATTGAACCTTTAAATCATGAGATAATATCCTTCTTTGTCTCTTATGCTGGCTTTGGCCTTAAAGTCTGTTTTATCATAAATTGATGCTGCCACTCTTGCTTGCTTTTGATTGCCATTAACTAGATACCTGTTTTCCACTTAATTTTTAATCTATGTCTGTCTTTGTGTTTAAGGTGTGTCTCTTGTAGACAGCATACTGAGGGATCCTATTTTCTTATCCATTCTGCTATTCTCTGTCTCTTGGCTGATGCATTTAATCCACTTACATTTAGCATAATTATCAATACATACAAATTGATTGCAGTCATTTTGCTGTGTTTTTGGTGGTGCTGCTGGTTTTTTTGTTCACATGTTTTCCTGTGCTGAGTTCTTTTTGTGTGTGTGTTTTTTGTTTGTTTGTTTTGTTATAATCAACTTTTAATTTTGATCAACTTTTAAAAAATTTTTGTAAATCTGGTTGCAAAAACTGAGCTGCAGACCCTTTCTTTTAAACAATTCTCCCTTAGCACACACCTCTCTCCGGGACACATGAAGACAATTTGGCACATGGAGGCATTCCAGAAGATACCTAAGAGGGAATGAGAGAGTGGGCATATCCTTGCTCCGACCCGCCCACCCACTCACCCCCACTTTTGTGTGTGTGTGTGTGTGTGTATTTAGTTTAAGGTTATAATGTCAAAATATAAAGTCTTGTAAGGTCTGAAAATACTCCATCTATAAAGTAAGGCAGATTTATGTTGTAAAAACATTAGTTCTTTGTCAAAAGTTATATCTATTCCTCCATCCTCTTCCATCCATGCTATTGCCAGCATCTTTAAAGATGGGTTTTTTCTTCATAGCAACACCAACACACGGCTTTTTGGTTGTCCAGGTATGGTTTGCAGCCCTGAACATGCTGAGCTAGTCCAAGTGTTTTCTGTATACCTTGACAGATCTTGGAGAGGCAATACTGAAATTCCTCATCATAGTCATTCTTGCCTTTGCCATAGGTCTTGTAGTGCCTGTCGTGTTGGTTGCAGTACTGCATCAGGGAAGGGATGCAGATGTTAAGATAAACACCGAACAGTGGGGAGCCACATCCATTCGGTGGGGAGGGTTTATATCTATAACTTGGATGAGGCTTAGATCCTTCACTGCACTTATATTGATAGAGCCCATCTTCACCTCCCAAGAGGTCCAAGGCGGTGTTCAAGTATTTGTCTCTTGTGCACGCTGTTCTGGGTGGTCTTAAGGCGGTCAGAGGGGCCGAGCCAGCACCTTCACGGAGTTCTTCCTGGAAGCGGAGCAGTCTCAGAGCCTAGTGCTCATGTGTGCTCGCCCGCCTGGGCCAGCAGCCACTCCCTCAGTCATAGTTTTGATTTACTCTGGATCCTTGTGTATCTGGATTGCCATGTATGCCAATCTTTGATTATTGTCAGCTGTTGTTGGTTCTCTGACATCCATTTTGGTCTTTCTTGCCTGTCTTTGTAATGACCTTTGACTTTCTTCATATATGATGTTCCTGATGTCATCCCACAACTCTTCTGGTCTTTGGTTATTAGTGTCTAATGCATTAAAACTCTACTTGAGATGATCTTTGAATTCAGGTGAGATATCAGGCTGCTAACCTCAAGGTCAGCAGTTCGAAAATACCAGCTGTTCCATGGGAGAAAGGTGAGGCTTTCTGTTCCTGTAAAGATTTACAGCCTTGGAAACCCTATACAGGCTTGTTATGAGACAGAACTGACTCTTACGATCATATTTTGGCTCTTGTGGACTTGTTTTAATTTTCTTCAGCTTCAGCCTGAATTTGAAGATGAGCAATTGATAGTCTGTTCCACATTCTGCCCTGGCCTTGTTTTGACTGATGATTGTAAACTTTTCTACCGTCTTTTCTCACAGATGTAGTCAGTTTGACTGCTGTGTATTCCATCTGGTGTGTCCATTCATTCTGACCAAGAGCTCTCTCATCCTGACCAAGAACCCCTCATCCTGACAGAGAATTCCCTTTGTCCTGACCATATAGTTATCTTTTAGGTTGTTTTAAAAGATGAACAAGTCAGTGGTCTTACAAAAATTAATCATATGGTCTCCAGAATCATTTCTGTCACCAAGGCCATATTTTCCAACTATTGGTCCTACCTCTTGATTTCCAATCTTCAATCACCAGTAATTATCAGTGCATCTTGATTACATGTTTGATGACTATCAGACTGAAAATATTGGTAGAATTCTTCAATTTCATCATCACAGGCTTTGTGGTTGGTACATAAATTTGAATAATCATAGTCTTCCTTGTAGGTTTATTGTTGTTGTTGTTAAGTGCCGTTGAGTCGGTTCCGACCCATAGCGACCCTGTACAAGGTTTCTGAGCAGAACGCCTCATCTTTCTCCCACGGAGCGGCTATGTAGCCTATCACAAACAGCATTGTACATCAGCATCCTGAAACATTCTTTTTGACGATTTCAGCTCACTACTGCCTAAGATATTGATCTTTTTGTGTTCATTTCATTTTTGACAACTTCCAATTTTCCTAGATTCATACTTTATACATTCTGTATTCCAATTATTAATGGATGTTTGTAACTGTTTCTCCTCTTTTTGAGTTGGGCCCCATCTGCCAATGAAGGTTCTGAATGTTTTACTGCATTCGTGTCATCATGATCAATGCTGCTTCTTTGAAGAGGCAGGTCTTCCTCAGTTGTATTTTGTGTGCCTTCCCACCTGAGGGGCTAATGTTCTGTTGCTATTCATAATGCTTTCATTCTCTGGTACCATACCTGACAGTGTTCTGCCGTTATTCATAAAGTTTTCCGTGCCTAACATTCAAAAGTAGTCTGCCTCTCCTTCTTCCTAGTCTGTGTTAGTTTGGAAGCTCAGCTGAAACCTGTCCAGCATGGGTGACGTGCTGGTATTTAAAATATCTGTAGCATTGCTTCCAGCATCGCAGTAATACACAAGCCACCACAATATGACAAACTGACAAATGGGTGGTGGATTTTGTTTTTAGTATTCTTATAATCTAAGAACTATTATATTTAGACTGAAATTGATAGTAAACATTAAGAAGGATTTTGTATGGTGTAACTCAGGAGACGGTCCAAGAAGGGTGGGGGGTGACACCGTGATTTACTGCACTAGTGGCACCAACACTAGCGATGTCATTGGATTGTATCCCAGGAACCAGAGGTCAGGCAGCATAAAGTGTACAGGGTCAAGAACAAGAGTCAGAACAGACTTTCCCAGGGTATCGATTTCCATACTGGAGGTAGACCACACCCCCATGGAAATTGCTCTTTCAACTGATTAATCACAGCAAATGAGATTATAGAAGATGTTATGTTTCTTTTAAGTTCTGTTACAGAACAGCAGCCATCCTAGTGTCTGACAAACCACAGAGCCTCTGAGGCTAGAGAAATGGTCATATGAACATATCCATCGCACTGGTCACCTAGATGTGCTCATGTCTCAGGGTTATGACTTTAATGTAAGAAATGTCAGTGAAAAGAAATCATCACAAACCAGGAGAGAACACACGGACGAGGACTGCTTGGTGGTGGTAACTCAGGTCCCCAGACCTCACATGCTATGGCAGCAGGCCACCAGCTGACTGCGGTAGTTTTTATACTTTCACTAGCTCTTAAGTGACACAAATGACTGTGCTTCAGGAACTTTCATATTGTCTCATGAAAGGCATTTGGGGACACCCATAAGTAACTCACCTCCTGCTTTGGGGCAGATGTGAAAACCTGCCATGTTTTCTTTCCAACAGCCTTTTGCGGGGCAGCTGCATTCCAGACTGTGAGCCAGGCACTTACTTTGACTCGGAGCTGACCCAATGCAGGGAGTGCCACCCCACCTGCCAGACCTGTGTTGGTGAGTCCGCTGCCTGCCAGGGCCCTTGACCTCTATGCCAGAGAGTAGTGCCCTGGTTCTCTAATTCCACTATAACAGAAACACCACCAGTGGAGGCCTTGAGCAACTGGAAATTGATTCTCTCACAGTTCAGGGGAGCTCAAAGTCCAGATTCAGGGTGTCCGCTTTTAGGGAAGGCTTTCTCTTTGTCTGCTCTCAGGGAAAAGGTCCTTGTCTCCTTTTAGCATCTGTAGGGTCAGTAGTCTTTGGCATCAGCCATCCTCTGGATCTAGGATCTTCCCAGTGTGGGGTCCCCAGGTCCAAAGAACACATTTCACTCCTGGCTCATTGTCTTGGTGGTAGTAGGGTCCCACTTTCTCTCCTTGGCTGTCTCCTTATCTCTCCTGTAAGATAATATGCTACATGCCAAACCCTTGGGAATCTCCTGTAAATCAGATCAGGGTGGTAGTGGGATTAATGGGGTCCTGGTGTGGAAATACAGGATAAGCACTGAGCAATTAACCAGAAGGTCAGTGGTTCAAACCCACTCCTCAGAAATCCTATACAGAACTGACTTCATGGCACTTGACAACAACAATAACATCCCATACTTAATCCTCTTGTTGGTTTATCCTATGAGATCAAATTATGGAAGATAGCTACATCTCAGCTGCCAAACCACTGAGAATCCTGGCCCGGTCAAGTTTCCAGAAAACCCTGTCACACGTGGGCAACAGCTGATCATCCTGAAACCGAGGCAGTCCCGGGACGCCACGGCTTTCCACGTTTATTGCCCCGTGAAAGCCAACGCATCCTCTTTATACAGGCATGCCGGGCTTCCGAGCATTAGACCTCCAAGCAATGGGGTTTCTGCCTGCAGACTGTCCTGACTGTGCTCTCATTGCAAAGATGCAGAAACTCACACTGGCTGGGGAGGGGTGGGGGAGTGAAGCCTTCATTTTGTTTTTTGTTTTTTTCCTTTTTATTATTGTGGTGAAAATATCCACAGCAAAACAAACCAGTTCAACAATTTCTACATGGCTTGCTGGTGATGGTTGTGTGCTGTGGAGTTGATTCCGACTCACAATTACCCTGTATAGGGTTTCTGAGGCTGTAAATCTTTATGGGAACAGAAAGCCTCATCTTTCTACTGAGGAGCAGCGGGAGGATTTGAACTGCTGACATTCCATTTAGCAACTCAACTTGGAGTTTGGTGCATTGATTACATTTTTCAAGTTGTACAACCATTCTTCTTGTTGTTAGTGCCATCGAGTCAGTTCCAAATCATAGCAACCCTGTATAGGGTTTCCAAGGGTGGGTTTGAACTGCCAACTTGTAGTTAGCCGTTCAGTGCAAATCTTGCAGCACCACACCAGGACTCTGTTTACGAATGATTTCACCACTATTAACATAACACTCAACAGCCTTTTAAGCAAAGTTCTCCATTTTCCCTCCTTTCCCCAACCCTGAACTGCAGACTGTGAGGTCGGCAATTCAAACCCCGGGCTGCTCTTAGGAAACCCTATACTGGGTCACTATGAGTTGGAACTGACTTGGTGGCATATAACAGCAACAATATGTGTTATTTCATATAAGTGAGATCATACAGTGTTTGTCCTTTTGTGACTGACTTAAAAACCTTCATTTTTAAAACACATATCTTTAGTTCTTTTTACCTGTTTTGGCTTATTTTGAACTCGTTATTCTAAGAGAAAAAGACACCAATAAGCAATTTCACCTATAGAATGCTTTCCTATAGACTTCCTCATAGTGTCCCCCAGGTACACTTGGAATGCAGAGTAGCATATGAAGTCAGATAGCTTTGTGTCGGAACTAACTCGGTGGCACTTAACAACAACAACCATGGAGAAACCATTGCTAGGGTTAGGCTCCATTCTGCAGAGTTAATTAATTGCACAAGGAAGTTGAAGTACAAGATGAGTTTGTAGGCTCAGAAATATTCCAGGATCCCAGGCCTCAGACACGCGCTCTCCTGCCTGCTGTCTCTGATTTTGACACTAAATCCTGCATGTGACAGACCTGCCACCACCCAGGTTCTGCTGTAGGACATGGTGTCAGGAGTGGCGGGGCTCTGCTCAGCTTGTCCTCCTGACTGCCTGTGGTCTTCCTCCTGAAAAGGACTCCACAGAAGGGTGCCAGGTGTCAGGGCAGTAACGCCCTCCCAGCTTCACCTTGCTGCAGAGCACCCACCCACAGGGAAGCTAGGGACACAGGGACTGATGTGTCCTAAGGGAACCTGCTGCCTCCTGCCAGGCATGGGACTGGCACAGGTGGAGCCCTCCCCAAGAGTCCCCACACTGTTTGCAACCCCACTGTGTAGGAGAGGGCACTTAGCCCCAGAGGGGCTATGTACCACAGAGCACTCAGCTACCCCCATCTAACCTGAGCAATCATGGGAAAGCCCTCCGGCCTGTGTCTTCATGTCCATGGAGAGCCCACATTGGGGTTTCATCTGTGCTTTGTGAGTGGAGTGCAGTGAAATCGCAGAGTATGCATGTCTACTCCCAGTGGGGCTCCCTTCCCTGTTCTCTGAACAGCAGCCCAGTGGGCTGTGTGTGGTGGTGGCCATCCCCGTTTCAGGCTGGTAGTGGCACAAAGCATCCCCCATCCAAATAGGTAGAACCCTTGGGCAGTCGCCCATCCAGCCTGGGAGAGGGAGGTTCCTGACTGGATTCACCTGGGCCAGGCCATGGATCACACACACAGGAAACAAGTGCTGAGTCTCAGGGGTGCACGCACAACCAAATCATGCATCCGTGAGGGTCTGCACTTTCCTATCAGCTGGCACTAATGACATCACTGCTATCATTATAACAATGAGCATTGAGAAGGAGCCCCGGGCTAGGTCAAGAGGGAGACTATGGGAGAAAGAAAACCATTTAGTACCTGCACACCTTTCCTACTCTTTGAGCAAGGGGCTCCACAGTTTTGCTTCATTGTTTACCTGCAGATTGAGTGGCCCACTGTGCTGGTACTCTGTCCACAGGTGTGATTACTGTATCCAAAGTCTATAATGACATGTGATTTCATGGAATCATTAAGAGACTTCGACCAAATTATAAAGCTTGTAGCATTTATTAATTGTGAAAATAGTTTGTTTTGAAAATGTGTGGTTAATCAATCAGTTCTTAAGTTTCACAAATCAGGGATCAAACAAAAACCAAACAAGAATGAGTGCACTTTCCCACCACTAGAACCCCTGGGACATTCGACAAAAGACAGGCAAGATGCAGGCCTCCTTAGTGAGCCCAGCTGAATGCCCAACACTGGTGGCATTTGACCTCCAGATGCCCCCCGGGAAGTCAATGATGGGATGGGGATAAGAAAGGGTACCCTGAGAAAAGATTAACTTTCATCTAGGAAGACAGCAACCAGCCCTTGCCCGTGAGGGCAGCTCTTCAGCATGCTGAAGGAGGAAAGCAAGGCCCCTGACCCGAGGAGCCTAGGGCCAGTGAGCAGCAGCCCAGACACGCTGCAGACAGGCAAGCAGCCTGACACCCACCCTTGGGGCTCCTGACCTGCCCTTCTCAGCATCACTTTTCCTGAAGAGAGGAGCTCCACATTCCCTTGGAGGCAGAAAGCTTTGGTTTTCAGATGTGTAACCAGCCACTGGACACCCCTGGATCTAGCAGAAAAACAGGACAAATACCACTGCATTCACTGTTGAGCCTCAGTCTAAGAACACAGCCAAATCAAAGAGGGAAAACATCTTTACCCAGGGATGAGGGTTACCACAGTGTCTCAAGAGTACGTGCTTCTTCTCCAGTTTCAATCCTCTGCTGTCACCCGGTAGCCACCTGCCACTCCCTCTGACATCCATACAAGTGCTCCTCATGGACATTTGCCAGAGTGGGTGCTCAGCACGGACTTGCACCAAGGGATAGATGGACAGATGGATGGACAGTGTCGTTTCTTTTCTAGTACAGTTTCTGACACTGGATAATTAGTTCTCCTCTGAAACTTGACTAATGAAACTTTTTCTTTTATAACTCTAGAGACTTTGTTCAGAGCTTTTGTCTCTTGGTTCAAACTCTTGCCCTGAACTATTAGTCATTTCTTCTGTGTTGTTACAGATGCCCTGATTCTTCACACCAAAACACCTTATCAGCCTTGTTTCCAAACATCTCTCTTCTCCCTTTCCCCACACAGCCTTACACAATTCTCCATCCAGTGGGAATAAGCTGCAGGTGGCAGATGCAGTTTTACATTTCCTCCCAGCCACGTTTGAAAGATGTGTCAGTCTCCTTCTGTTAACACTGACAGCCTGGGAAATGGGAACCCTTTGGGACGCTTCTCCTGTCCTGTAGGGCCAGTGGGAATCAGAATCATCTTGGGAGAAGTAATGTTTGCAATCAGTGTGGCACGGGCAACGTGAACATGTGTTAAGGTGGCCTCGTGCCCCCCAGGGTATGGTCCTTCCCATCTCCCCATCTGTGACATGGGAACAGTGACAATCACCCCCAAGGCATCATGTGAACATGGGGCTCGTGGAGGCTTTGGGCATCTGCTCAGCTCCCCAGGCACCTCAGCAGGTCTGGGGTGAAGTGACCAGTGGGCAGTCCCTGACCTCACTTCTTTTCATGCACCCACAGGGCCTGGCAGAGAAGAATGCATTCACTGTGCAAAAGCCTTCCACTTCCACGACTGGAAGTGTGTCCCGGCCTGTGGTGAGGGCTTCTACCCAGAGCAGATGCCAGGCCTGCCCCACAAAGTGTGTCGAAGGTATGGCATGGTCTCAGGGCTCAGCAGAGACGATGGGGCCAGGCAGTCTTGGTGTCCACCCAAGGAGCAGTGTCTCCCCTGGGCAGGGAGGGTGGGAGACACCTTCAGTTGGTGATCTGACCAAGGTCACTTGTGAGTTGGTGACTTTTATTCCTTTGTTCATTTAATGAACATTGTTGAGTACCTACTGTGTGCCAGGTCCTGGAGTTGGGGCAAGAGAAGAATACTGAAGGACTGCTTACCTCCAGAGGCCAACTCAACAGGAGAACCCCCCCTGTGCCACCTTAGGGATGTATTCACTTAGCTGATAGTTGTGTTTTTGATGGTTTCATAATGGTTCTACTTAGCTACTTTAGAGAAAAGAGTAAGGTCTTGCTTGACAATTTCCTCATTCTAAAGCCATTTCCTGTCCAGCAGGTGAGCATACACTTAGCCCTGCCACACTCCAGTGTTGTTTGTCCATGTGTCTCCATAGCCATGCTTATTGGGAGGTTTTGGACTGGGCAGTGTTGTTACTGGATTCTTGTTACTGGATATGACAGTTAAAGAAAGAAAAACACGTGCTCTGGTGTTGTCGAAGGTTGCCTTACGTAATGAACCCAGGGTCCAGAGCAGCAAAGAGGAGTGTGGTGGCTGCGAGAATGCTGATGAGGATGGACTCTGAGAGGACCTTCTCTCTGAAACAGACTCGGAGAGAAGGTGCCCTCGGAGTTCATGGCGGAGCGGGCTGGAGCGAGCAGGCCCTTGGCCCAGCTCACAAGCGGGGGACTCATATTAGCAGATCTCACAGCTGTGATGCCCATGTTTGGAGCACTGCTCTAGTCCCCTCAAACAAAAAACAGTCCTACAGTGAGCTAATAAGAGGCTCCCTAGTCCTTACACTTGGGTGACTTCACAGAGTAGGGACCCTGGAGGGGGAAGTCAGGTACCTGTGAAAGGGCAGCCCCTCTGATTGGGTCTGAGGTTGGAAGCTTGTGGCCTCCACCCAGTCCTGATGAGTCTTGTTCCGAGCCCTCTGCATGGTTCTCTGAAGCAGCCCTTTCATTTTACCCAGATACTTTGTGGGTAATTTAAGTCAAGTACAGTAGCCCAGAGGGAACTTGGTTAAACAGTGATGATCACATTCATGTGTCACGTGCCCAGATGAGAGAATGCTGGGTGTCCAGTAAGTATGGCAGCCAGACACCCAGGGCATTGGGAGGCAGGGGCAGACCTGCCTGTCCAGGCCCTCACATCCACCAGAGTTCAGTGCTGGGATGCCATGTCATGTCTTGGGCTTCCCCTACACAGAGCCATGGAGGAAATGAACTACAACTCTTCAGAAAGTGTCCCTCTTCAAGAATGTCCCCCTGGCTCTGAAGACCCCTCAGTGTAGATTCCTCCCAAAGGGCACAGGCTTGGGTTGACCTGGACTCTGTCTTCAGGGCTCGTACCAGCCTGGCAGCACCAGCTTTGAGAGAGCATAGCAGCCCCAGCTCCAAAGCGTCCATTGGCACTGAGTATCTCCTACTGTCAGGCGGGCAACTCCCAGCAAACAAGTGGCCAGGTGAGGGCTGGAGGTGGCAAACCCAGGCCAGGACCCAGCCTAGCTCTAGGGATAGGGAAAAAGACACCAGTGCTGACATGCAATCCTGAGTTTCCTCAGTTCTAAGTTAAGGAATATCCATGGTATCGCAGTAGAGGTAGCACGGGGAGGAGCATCACCTTCTCCGAGAGCAGCATGAGTCTGGATTCCTCTCCTGAGCCTCCTACTTTCCCTGCCTCTCAACAGCTTGTGAGACCTGAGTAGGGAACAGCTGAGCCTCTGGAATTAGGGGCTACAGTGGGTGTGTTATTAAGCCAAGTATGTGTGGCTTAATACATGGCAGAAGGAAGCGAATATTCCTCTAGTCCTGTTGGGGCAGGAAGGGAGATTCCAAGTGCCTGGTGACAAGAGGGTTTGAAGAAGGTGATACCAGCTGTGTCTGACTGGTACTACTTACTACACAGCCCACTCGGCATACTGGTTAGCCGTGTTTGAAGCACCCTTGGCTACAAGTGTAAATAGCCCAGTCTTGCTCACAAATGTGGTCTTTAAGAGATGCTGGCAGCGTGCCTCCCAGGCAGTCAGTCCCTGGAGCTTTGTTTTTGGCATTGCCACTATAGGCCTCACCTCCAGGAAGGTGGCATCTGTGCCCTGCAGACAACTGCAGACAGCCAGGGCTTGCATGCTCTCCTGCATCCTTTCAGATTGCCTCTAGGACCTGTCCCTGGCTCTGGGAGCAGTGGACACAGTTCCAAGCACTGTGAAGACCTGGTCACCAGGTGCTAGACTCAGAGACAGTGCTGTGCAGGTCACACATGGGACCAAAGTGGGGAACAAGCCCAGCAAGCCTTTACCAGCAAGCCTTTTCTGGTAAAGTGCCAGAGACTCTGTGGGCCAAGTAGTCTTCATTGGATCTCCATATCTCTGCCATGGATGTTGTATCAATAAGTGAATTGACTGTGCTCTATAAAACTTTATTTATAAAAACAAATGATGGGTCAGGTGTAGCCCAGGGGCCAAAGGATGCCACCTCTTCCCTTGGCTCAAGTTGACTGTGCATCAGAAATGGCCCATGGCTCTCTCTGGGCCAGGCTTGGCCAGGACTGTCAGAGGAAGAGGCGTTGAGAGGACACTGACCCATGGATGAGGCAGGCATGGTGTGAACAGAAGCTCAGTCACCAGTGCAGCTCAGGGTCATCAGACACTTGGGGCCATGTCTGGCCATGCCCCAAGTCACAGGGGTGAAGCAGGCGTCCCCGGGAGGAAGTCTGATGGGGCTGCACCAGGTTCCGTGGGGTGGGTGGGGTCAGACCTGGGGGTGGGGTTGGAGAGGAGGTCTGAACCCCGCCTCCTTCCAGGCAGTCTCTGCTCCTGTCAAATGGCCTGAATGTGTGAGGTCAGCTAGGAGGCTGGGGTGTGCAGGGAGGGAGCAGGGCTCCAGCAGGCCCCTGTGTCTTCCTGCAGGTGTGACGAGAACTGTCTGAACTGTGAAGGTTCCAGCAGGCATTGCAGCAAGTGTAAGCCAGGCTTCACACAGCTGGGGACGTCGTGTATCACCAACCACACATGCAGCAATGGTGAGCATGCTGGGCAGGGTTACCCCTCCGGAGCTGGCCTGTGGTCAGAGGAATGGCAGTCTACCTCGGGACTTCTCCAGTCAGTCTGGACAATACAGCCCTCTCTCCTACCTTCCTAAAAGCCTCTCAAATTGATCTGAGGCATCAGGCCACCAACCCAGCTACTGCTGGTTGGTTTGCTGGGGGACTATTAAGGATGATTTTGTTCTTGTACCATTCCCTCTCTCATGCCATAGGCCCTAGCAGCCTGACTATGATGACTTCATAGGAGAGACCTTACTTGGCGATCAAAGCCAGGAGACCTAGAGAAAAGAGCCCCACAGTGAGGCCTGTGCCCAGCACGGGGAGCCTGTGAGTTGGTGGACTGTCAGTTGGCAGGTTCAGCAGCAGGAATCTCATCAGGCACACAGGAGCCCTCCACAGGGAAGACCCGCACCTAGCCTGCGACCAGAGGCAGGGCCCAGGTTCACCAGGTCTCCAGGTAGCTGAGGGACCCTCACAAATGGATTTAAAACAGAGGGGGGTTCCAGGCGGGAGGACATGTTGGCAGGGACCCTTGTCTAGAGGCTGTTGGGAGCCGTTGCAGGATGTGCTGTGGCAGGAAATAGGCTGCAGTGGCTGGCCATGTCACAGGGAGGGGCAGCTCTGGGGCAGCAATGCCCAGGTAGCCAGGAGTGCAGAGAGCTGGCCCAGGGAGGCCTCACCAACCACAGGGAAGTGACTCCATGCCACGCTGTCTGGAGATTTGGGTAGTTGATAGAATTGTGTCCCTTCCAAGGCCAGAAAGACAGATCTCTTTAGGAAGTCGCCTGTTCGGGTTACACATTCAGTCCAAGGGTGAGGTTGCTGCAGCAGGGCCTGCCAGGGTCCATGAATGACCAGGTGTGCTCACATCCATCTTTCTCCATGCTTCTCCAACTCCATCACCTTCCCGGACAGCTGTCCTTACTCCACTGCTGCCTCGGCCCAAGGGATGGCCAGGTCCCCCCAGCCTGTGTCTCTCCCACTCAGGCCTGTACCACAATCACCCAGGAAGGGTCTGTGAAGATGCTCAAGACCCCCTGCTGTCCCTCTGAGTTGGGGTGAGCCCCTGCACGCCCACCTGCCACCTGTCACAGAAGGGTCTGTGAAGACTGCCAGGCTGTGCCACCTCATCCTGTGTTGTCCTGGCATCTCACCAGTTCCCAGCAAATGTAGAATGAATACAATAGTCTCCACAGGCCTCAGAGGGTGGTGTTCTTAGTTACCATCAAGTCGATGTCAAGTCGATGTCAGATCATGGTAGAACCGCTCCATCGTGTTCTCAGGGTCATGACCTTTCAGAAACAGACCACAAGAGCGAGGCCCCTCTGGGTGGGTTTAAACTGTGACAACAGCTTTAGGTGTGTGGTAAAGTTCTTCATCAGTTTTGCCACCCACAAACTCTGTCAGGTGTGACTAATCCCTCCTTTTTCTTTCCTGCTGGGGATCACCAGCCGATGAGACATTCTGTGAGATGGTGAAGTCGAACCGGCTCTGTGAGCGGAAGCTCTTCATTCAGTTCTGCTGCCGGACGTGCCTCCTGGCTGGGTAGAAGGCACTGGCCCCTCTCGCCCAGCTGCCTCCACTGGAGCTATGGACAGAGCCTGTGCCAGGTGAGCAGGGTGGGCACCATGCATTTGGCAGCATTACCTTCTCAGGCCAGGGCCTGCAGCTGATGCTTTGTGCTCTCAGAGCCAGGGTGATGGTGGCCTTTCACCGAGGGCTTCTCTTTCAATCTCTGCTTGATGCCTGCACTCTTCTAGCAAACTCAAAATGAAAACAAAATGAATTCTGGCCTCGACAGCTCCAGCTTCAGAGCAGCATCTGAGACCATAATAAGTTTATGGAATCTTAAAGACCAAAGCAGAAAGGAGAGGGGGTTGGCATACCCATCACCTTGCTGGGCTTCTGGGCAGCACTGTCGTAGATCTCCCAGGACCATCTGGCCACTCACCTGCTTTGCTGATTTGGGGCATAAACTGTATGACTACTGGGGATGGGGTGACCTATTCCCAGAGTCAGCCACTTCCAAAATGGCAGCACTGGCTTAGGAAGAAATCATCCAAAATGGAGACTGGAAGATGCTTCCTTTCCTGGCAGCGCTCTCCTCATGAGCCAAGCTCCCTGCAGAATTCTGTCACTCCTTCTGTGTCTCTGGGAGGCTTGTGGGCCTGACCCACCACCGCAGGTCCTGAAGCAGAGCCATCTCCGGCTGGCCCAAGGGACCCCCACAGGACCACACGGCTCCTCTGGGCTGAGCCAAGAACAAGCCCAGCCCCATTCACTGGTCTCTGCCCATCTTATGGAATTGCTTTTAAAATCCACTTGGCCTCTGCTTTGTGGAGACCTGTTCTTAAGGTGGATGTTTCTGTGTCTGTGTGCCGTGAGCCTGTGCAGCACAGAGGAGTTTATTTCTGCCAAACCTTTGTAGACATTTTATAAGCTACATATTGTCATTTTCCAATGTTAATTATTTTGACAAATACTTCATGTACTTTCATTGAAATGCACAGATCTGCTTGATGAGTTCCCTTAACTACAGGAATAATGTTTGCCTTAAATTTCCTCCACCTTTTCCTGCTCCCCTTTTCTGACAAAAATGCACTCGCCTGGTCGCCTTTGAGTTGGAGAGAACCAAACTCTTGTTCCTGAAATCAACAACTCCAAAAAAGAAAGCAACAGAGCAAATGCAATGCTAACACTAAATTAATAAAGACGTTGACATCTCATGGACGAGGGAGCCTGTGTTCTTTCCAAGGCACAAAGATTAAACTTGGTTTAATTACGGTGATCAATGTGTAAAATGTAGCGTTGTTTATTTGCGGTTTCGGGGTCTGTTTGATGTCATTATTCATAAGGTCTTTGAGCTTAAGCAAATATTGATTTAACAAAGGAGGGAAAATCCCACATTTCCAACCCCAGGATATCTCTAGGCAAAAAGACATTCTTCAGGCCACAGAAGCTACATAAACCTCAGGAACAGGGACAACTTCCTTCATTCCACAGGAATGGTGGGGTGCTTATGACCCAAAGGTTGGTAGTTCAAACCCACCAAGAGGTACCTCAGAAGAAAAGCCTGGCAATCTTCTAAAGACTTAGCCATTGAAAACCAGGCAGAGTTCTGTTCTGACACACATGGCATCTCCATGAGTCAGAATTGATGCATTGGCAACTGGTTTCCATTGGTCAAGAGGGACTTTGGCCATACTGACTCAGGGCTCTGCCCTTAACGGCTCCCAATGTTTAATTAAAGTTCTCAGCATTACACAGTGATGGAAACCCGTGCCCCTCCAGGTTGCCTACTGTGAGGGACTTGTCCCATGGCCCCTCTGGGGAGCAAATACAGGAAATTCATCAAGCAGACCTGACTTGGGGAGAAAGTGGGTGCAGGCATTGTGTTGGGAATCCAGGTTTGGCTTAGAATTTCAGGGAAGGGTGCGCCTGAGCCTCAGGAGCCCTGGAGCCAGCATCAAGTGTCAGCTGGAAACTATTGGAACAGCAGGAGACTGGACTGTTAGTAAGCATTAATGCCAGGCAGATAACCAGAGTCCTGACCCAGCTGCATGGAGCTTTCTGCTGACCACATGGCCAGAGCTGGGAATGCCAATGGTTTGGGATGCTGTAGCCAAGGCTTAGGTTTCTACCTCATACAGAAGACTGACCTTGAATTAAAACCCCAATTTGTTCAGTACCTCTTGTGTAAGGCACTGGTTTTGTCCCTGGAGCATAGGCATTTTTAAATACAAGCTCTTTGTCCTCTAAGAACTTATAGTATAACAAATTAGAAACTGAATCAGAAACTTTCCTTTTTATGTACCAAAGGCACCAACTCACAAGAAACCAACTAGGCAGCCTCAGGAAGGATATGTCCTGCCAGCTGTGGCAAGTCCAGTCTGCCTGACTTGGTGAGACCAGTCCCATGACTAACTCATGGACCGCAGCATGGAGAAGCTCTTCACAGCATCAGAATTACTAAGCAGCCCCTTGTTACAAGGACTGATCACACAAAATACCTGCTTGTGGATGGCCCAATGTTAAGATCTTTGGGACTCAGTTGGAGACACATTATGTTTCTGAGTTTTGTGCTAAGTGATAGAATCATGGACCACCTCTTCTACCATGTCATTTCATGGACAAGGACACTGAGGCCCAGAGAGCTGAAGTGACTTGCCTCGGGCCACACGTGGATCCCAGGGCTTTGGCAGGGAGGGAACTGGCTCTCTGTAGGAGGGTTGGTCACTCTTACAGCTTACCAAATGCATTTGTTTTCAATTTTACTTCCAGATAATGATATTGTCCTGACCTTGGCCCCAAATTCTCTGGCCCTTCACAATGATCCCCACACACCAGTATTGACTTTGTACCTTGTAACGCTTCAAAGGGCTGGGGAGAACTATGGTTTTTAGAAAAGACCCATATATAACGAGAAAGCAAAACACCTAAGTCCATTGCCATCAAGCCAATTATGACTCAGTGACGTAGGACAGAGTAGAACTGTCCCAAAGAGTGACCGAGGCTTTATTTTCAGAAGCAGACAGCCACGTGTTTCTCCTGCAGAGCATCTGATGGGTTCAAACCACCCTCCTTTCATTTAGCTGAGCACTTTAACCACTGTGCCATCCAGGCTCCTTATTATGAGAAGGAATGTTAAATGAAAACAGATTAATGAGTCACTTAGAGTTAACAAGGTTTACTGAGCAAAGTATGGTGGTGGGGTGGGTTCCAGTTCATAGTGACCCTGTATAGGGTCTCAGAGGCTGCAAATCTTTAGGGAAGCAGAAAGCCTCATCTTTCTACTGAGGAGCAGCTGGTGGATTCGAACAGCTGACTTTGTGATTAACAACCTAATGCTACCAGAATATTTCTAGTAAGAAAAATACAGTAATTGGGTCTTCTATAAAACAAACAAACAAACAAAAAACCACTGTCATCAAGTCAGTTCAGCTTCACAGCAAATAGGGTTTCTGAAACCAAATCTTCACAGGAGCACATAGACTCACTTTTCTCCCCCAGAGTGGCTGGTGGGTTAGAACTGCCAATCTTGTGGGCCAGTGGGCCTTACGATGTCCTTAATTGAAGAGAGGATTTTATAAAGTGGGGATCTTTTCTGTTGCTGGTTTAAAAGTTTAGTAGGAGCACTTTGAAATGTTCGTATCGTTTAGTCGAGGTTTGTACCTGGTATGAATGACCATTTTTATTTATTCTTGGAAAGGTTTTGCACCTGGCACAAATGACCAGTCATTTATACTTAATATTTAACAGGGCATCAAAAGAGCTTTAAGAAAACACGAGGGAGGTGGGGCTTGATGGCAGCTAGGGTGGAGGCGCAGTGAGGTTCGCCATCAGCAATACCACAGAATACCAGGAAAACAGATTCAGGGCAGAGCTCTAAAACTCAGAACCACATAGATAGGAATATTTAAAAGGTTTGAAGGCTTATAGCTACTGGAACTTGTAGCAAAAGTAAGAAATCACGTACTTTTGAATCTTCTGGGCTCTGTGGCCTGGAGCTGACAACTTGGGCGAGACCAAATGGCAAGAAACCACTACGCCTTCTAATCAGGTTCGCATCAGGGCTATATTCAAAAATGGATCCTGAGACTTGGTGGATGTCCAAAAGTCATACTTAATTTTCATTATTCTGCTTTTCCTTTTTAGAAAATGGAGATAGATTTAGGGTGGTTGATAGGGAATTTTCAAAAAAATCCTTTCACCACAGATGCAGTAAGAAAATAAATGAGATATTAATTTGGGTTGTTTTTCAGTGCTCCTGTTACTTTTTCCTCACCGAAACCAAATGTTCAAAAAGACATCCTCCTCCTGTTTTTGTTTGCAAGACAGCTGCAATTTCCACTGCAGGAGATTGGGATGAATACATTCAGTCTACTAAGTCCACTCCATAAAACCAATAAGCAAATATTTCTGGTCTCAGTACTGGCAACGTGAGGGCTTTCCCTAAACCAACGGTTTGTGCTTACCTTATGAACATTGTAGAAGTCTGACTGATCATGTCTTGCTTTCTAGATTGCCCATTAGAAAACCTGGAGTCCAATTTGCAAACACTTACAGTGAATATAAGTCCTGGTGTGGTGCTGTGAGTTCATGTGCTGGATTGCAATGCCAGTTTGAACAGCAAGGTCAATAGTTCAAGCTCACCAGCCACTTCTCAGAAACCCTATATAGGGTGGCTATGGGTCGGAACCGACTCCATTTGACTAGAACAACAACAATGAATATGGAGACAGATGAAACTGGGGGGAGGGGGTAAACTTCTTGCCTTCCAGGCAGGAGACCTCCATTTAATTCTCAGCCAATATATCTCAGGTTGGGCTATGTCCCCGTCTCAGTGGAGGCTTCCATGTTGCTATGATGCTGAACAGACTTGAGCAGAATTTCCAGACTAAGACAGACAGACTAGGAAGAAAGGTCTGGAAATCTACTTCTGAAACTCAGCCAATTTTTAATTGTATGTATCACAGTGGTTCAATCAGAAACTGATAATGGGAATAGCACACAACTGGACAGTGGTCTGCAGTGTACATAGGGTAGCCT